AGACTGGATTTGGCATTTTTATCCACTTATCAAATCCTTCCTAAGGACCTGGGATAAGCAGATGTTGTTGTTTGATTTATTGTTGTTGTTGTTGTTGTTATTATTATTATTGTAACATAAGGATATATTAGCTTAGCTATCTCTAGGTGAATGCTAACCTAGCTATCTCTAGGTTAATGTCATCTTGTTTTAATCAACTAATTTGATGTTGATCATATCAATTTGATGTAGTATCTAACGACATCTGGTCAGTAACTCAACATTTATAAAGGAGTAATTCTCTTGCTGCAGTGTGACCTAATGATACAAACTTCATGGTGTTTGACATACTTGCTTTGAGTCACAAAACAACTATCCAGTCATTTAGTTATTCTGAATGCAAGAACTTTTACTAGTACAACATACAATGCACAATAAGAAAAACATTTATCTACTTACAACATAAATCAAAAGTATCAGCAATCTGAGAATGAAATACTGCCACTCAAACTTTTGTGTATGCATTTTTTCCTTTAAGAAAGAAACAGATCTGTAAACAAGAAAAAAAAATTAAATCATGAGGATGTAAGATGCACATTATGCTTATGCTACATAAAAAGATAATAGGCAGTAATAATAATATACCTGGATTTTACGCCATGCCCTTTCTCAGTCTAGGTCTGTACAATGATTATAGGAAAAAGTACAAAACTGTGACACTTCATTTATAATCCAGACACAGGGTTACCATTTTCTTCTAGATGTCAAAAAGTATTCAAGAACTGGTACATCATTGAACTATAGGAAAGAATGCTATAATCCACTGAAACTGAGTCCTAACTGTAACAAAAGGGGTTCAATCTATATTTACTGTTAGCCAAGAAGTATAACAATTTGTTTTTGACAAGGATCAAATCATAGCTAAATCTAAACAGAAAACCTTACACAATCTTGATTTTTTTTCCCAAAGTGGAAAGGAACCAAATTGTAATATGAAATTCTTTATTGAACATAAACCATGACAAACAGATGGACAATCTACCTGAATCAGAAGCAACATGAGAGTTGATATCCTATTGAAAAAAATAACTTGCATTGGATTAGTTATTGGAAGGTAGGACTCATTCATAAATACATGCTAGTTGCTAAGCACCCAAATTTTGATCACATGACTGCAGGGATGCTGCAACAGTTGTAAGTGCGAGGACTTGTCGTAACTCACTCTTTTCAGTGCTGCTGTAACTAAATGAATGGTCATAAGTCGAGGACTACCTGTAGTTATTTTAAAATCATTATGCAAATCCTTCAAAATACATGCTTCAAAACACAGAGCATATCAAAAGCCCATCTTTTTGAACTGTCAAAGCAGGCTCACACACAGCAGTTTCAGAAGTTACTCCTAGCAGTGTCCACATGTATATTCATGTATTATTATTATTGGTGGTGGTGGTGGTGGTGGTAGTCACACAGCCAGTTGTTTAGACTGGATTTGGCATTTTTATCCACCTATCGAGTCCTTCCCAA